GCCGAGCGCCGCGGCGGGGCCGAGACGTGCCGCTGGCCGCGGGGAGCGGGGGCTGGGGCTCCGCAGGTGCTGGCCCGGGACCGTGACTGGGTGTCTGGTCTGTTTGAAGGAGGCTGAGATCCCCCAGGAGCTCATCGAGAGGCTGGCGCACAGCGAGATCCACAGCATCCGCGACTTGCAGCGCCTCCTGGAGATTGATTCCGTAGGTAAATTATTCTCTTTCCTTCCTTCCTCGCCTGGTACCGCGGCTGGCACCCGGGGCCGCGCCGCTCCGCACGTGTCCGCCGGGGCTGCGCCCGGAGCTAGCCCGGAGCAGGGTCCCCCCCCACACCCAGCCAGCGCTGCAGCACCCCCCAGACAGGCAGCCGCTCCCAGGTCAGGCTCAGGAGGGAGCAGATGGTGAAGGAAACTCTTTGAGTTGCAACTCCCTGACCTTTCTAGCTCCAGCCCTCTTCATTTCCCAGCAAAGAAGAATTTCCCCAACCTTTCTTGTTGCTCTTCCCGGGCCTGGCTCTCTCGGAACTACTGTCCTAGAGGCATTTGAGATATTTGAAACAATGTTTATGAATGAAGTCATGTCTCTTCCAAGACCTGGGGTTTATTCAAAGGAAAATAAACTGTCCGTGCTGATCTTAACCAGGACCCTTCCTCGGGTGCTTACCCTTGGCAAATACCGCCCTTATTCAAAGGAAAACAGCACAAGGTTATTTTCTGCCCTGTTAAGCGTGCAAAGCAACGGAGGGAGAACGTGTGCTTCACCAGGGCTCTACCCCGCGGTATAAAGATCTCAGCATCATGGCAGCACCGACTGGTTATCATTACGGCTGGGCTGCTGCCCTTTGCTTTTGATGGTCCCTTCTGTTAGTCTGTGGAAGAAGGAAACGGCATCTTTGGGAGAGCCGTGTCTTTTGTGCGAAAAAGCAAGGAGGTGGTGTGGGGCATCTCCTTTAAAAAATATAATCTTATGCTATGCATTTTCCCCCCCTGAAATATGTGCTGTTTAAATCACTATCAGTCAGTGCTACCAAGTCTTGATTGACTTGCTTGCCGTCTTTTTAGCTGAAGTATTAGTGAACAGACATGTATGGGAACCGTAGCTTACTGAGAGAGCTCTTAATTTTTATGTAATTAGGTTGTAACTGGTGTCTCATTACAGGGAAAATTCAAACACTCCTCTCTTTCAAGGTACTTTGCCATAAAGGCTCGATACTAATTACTAGCTTGATTTGCACTGGGTTGATACTTTGAGAAACAGAAGTTGGGATTAAGGAAGCTTTCAGGCAGGGACAAAACCCTGAATTGAATGTGCGTAATGCATGTTAGCCTGCTCTAAACTGCAGTCTGTACCGTGCACGTGCACCAGCGTCCACGAAATTTGTATGTTGGCTGCTGGGGAAATAAGGGCGGGTGAATTTTCCCTATTCTCTGTTTCCGGTATCTTTGAGGCAGTATTTTGTACCTCCCAGAATATAGTATGTCCGGATACTTCAGCATAACAAACAAGCACTTCATTTTTAAATACCGCTTACGACGAAAGCAAAAGTTCACACGGTTCCATGTCTAGAGGCAAACTGACAAGTAATGGTGTGCCGGTTGAATAAATTAGAGAAGGTGGCAGATCAGAGAAGATTATTGTAGGAAACAAACTGAATTTTGTTCATGCTTGCTATTTGCCACGAGGTAAATCATTATTTCATTCTGCCCCTTTACTGCAAGAGAAGTAGGGAAGCAGAGAAGCAGGAGACAAATGTCCTTTAAAATCTGAAAGCGAAAGGTGATTATTGTATAGAATTAAAAATACAGTGGAAAGGTCCAGTCTTGCCATGTTCCTTATGCGATTAGTCCTTGCAAAGCCCTCTTCTAAGTAGTAGTTCCAATATTGATCCCTGCTGGGAACATAGTCATTGACTATCTCAATTTATGTTTAAATATATCAGTCTGGCAAGCTTTACTTTCCGAAGTAATCCTTACTCCCCTGACTTCTAATTGCCATATAGAAAAAGCTACAATCAATTAAAAAACTGGATTCAGCTAGTCTCCTTTGGCAGTAAAGGCTTGGGCCTGTTTAGCGAATTGTAAGATTAGCTTGAGCTAGAGGGAAAAAAGTCAGATATCTGATAGCTAGTGCTGCAAAGAAAATATTTCAGAAAGCGGAGGATTACCTTTCTTGCAGTGCAGTGCATCTGTTAGGTAACAACTGCAGTTTTAACGGATTTGTACAAGACAGTTTCCATTTTTTGGTTGTTTTTACTACTTCTCATTGTAGTGCATGTTCGTGCCAGTCCTTTCCTGAGTGAGTAGGGCTCGTAAACTCAGTGGGGGAACTCAAGTACCGTGGATTACTCTTCCGAGCAAGAGTTTGTAGGCTCATTCATGCAGCAAATCTCTGCTTTTCCTGAGAAGTGGGGCAGACTTGGTGGGAAGCAAAGGGAGGAGCAGCTGATTTCTGTGCATCGCTGGCAGCAAAGCAAATATACATGCTTTCAAACCAAGTCTCGTTAAGTCGGGGTGGGCAGCTCCTGCATCCTGACAGATTTTGACTCTATATTGTAGTGCAAGGATGATGGATAACCCCCTTCATAAAATTAGAAACCACACCCCCAGACCATCTGGTGTATTACTTAAAGAAAACCAGCATCCAACATGATGCTTATCAATTTATTCAATAAAGAAAATCCAGGCCAAGCTTCTTCTTCTGGAGCACAATCCTGCACTCCCTACTCAAAAATCAAACTAGTGAAGGCAATAGGAGTGCTGTCAGATACAGGATCAGGCCTGTAAGTTGCAATGGGATAAATCCATTGGATCTGAGTGGAGTTTCACAGTGCGAAAGAGAAAAGACTGACCTTACCTATTTAAGATATAAAGCCGGCATGATCCCAGGAAGTAAACAGCTCTAGCACTCAAAGTCCACGACTTCACTACTAACAGTGAAGAGAATGAATCATTGAAACAGAGGCAATTCCTTTTTGCCGCCTTTCAGATTTCCTTGGCTAGCGCAGCGGGTCTTGCTCTCCGCATTTTCCCCTCCCTTCCGTCCTGTGGGAGGTAGAGTTCACTTCATCACATATTCGACTTGTCTCCTGCTGCTGCTTGGACTACAGCGAGACTCCCGATCGCACAGTCTTTCCCCTGTGCTGGAAAGGCTGCTGCTTCTCTGTGCACATGCCTGCCAGCGTGTGTTTTACTTGGAGCAAAAGCACCAACCAAGCCATTCTAGTCCTGCCGCCACAAGGAGCACTTTAGACTTGTGAATTGAATAGCCTTTGCCTATGAACCAGCAGAAGCAGCTTTGCAATGTACACAGTATATTGCAAAATAACACAACTGCTGCTCTCTCCAGGTGTGTTAGGTCATTAAAACACAAACAAGCTAATCCACTAAACTCTCCTGTTGACTTCACTGGCCTTTGGATAATGTCCCAAATTAAAAATGGATGAGGGTGCAAGCGTTAGCTTCTGTTAGGCCACCTGGAAGCAGCGAAGCAGGTGGGCTTTTGACATGCGGCCCTCTGTATTTTGCTCTTTTCCTTTCCCCCAAAAATGATGCAAGAAATATGGCTTGAGAAAGTTTTATAATGCTGTTCTTCTCAGTTACATGTAGGTAAAAGGACCTCTTGCACAGTGCTATTTCAATTCTTCAACTGGTCCAAGTTTTCAAATGTAATGCCATTGATCTCTGAGTCTGAATATTACAAGCATTTTGCATTGGCTAGAAAAATGATCAAACAGATTGACGTTGCCTTGAGCTTGTTGGGAGCATGACTGATTTGTAATGGCTATTGCATACTGTTTTCAGCTCCTGAAAAGAGAGAGGCATTGGGGATTTCATAAACTGTTCATGATACCCAGGATTTTGGACCTCTACCTCTGGGATATACATCAAAACGGCACCCAGTTAGCAGAATGGAAGTATATAGTGCATATGTTTGGGACTGTACCTCCTGAGCAACAACTGCATGGGAAAATGATGTCATAGTAATGTTAGAACTAGCTAACAGTAGTCTTTCTTTTAGGATGCTTTCCATCTACTTTTTTTAGGAGAGCAGCAATCGCATATTGGCAGTGTCATAGGAGCTCTGTGAGTTGTATGTTAGCTACTCCCTGACCTCCATGGAAAGATGCCAGTCGGACAAAAAGAACTATTTCAGCCACATTAATGGACTGACCAAGGCTAATTGCTAGAGTTTTTCTACCCATCATCGAAATGTTGTCAGTGCATCAGGGCATAAAAGATTAAAGAGAAATTACTTGATCAGCTGCCATGAAGACATTTTTTTTATTAAATGACCTATCCCATATCCAAGAAGAAAGCTGTCTTCATTTTGCTCAGCACAGCGCCCTCAGCAGTCACTTAGTGACACACATTTTTTCAACATCAATAAACCGAGAATCGTTCCTTTCCCTGTAAAACTTTGTTTGCTCATAGGGAGTGAGCCCGTAAGGTGGTGGAACCCATTAACTCCACCTGACTGTCCCGAGAGTCGAGGGCACTGCCTGTCTTGGAGATCCTCAATTCAACCCCGTTGGTTAATATCTAGTGGGAAAATAGTCTTAATTTCTGACATCATTGGTTTGGGAGACCTTTTGGCAGATCCGGTGTTAGTTTCCATGCTGCTTTAACAAACAGGAGGATTCTTTTTTTCCTGATTGTTAAAGCACCATTGTTTTCTCCATTGAATCAGTCAAAAATCTTTTCCTCTGGTTATAAATAAGGACTCAAGACTAGTTGGGGTCAGATTCTGTGAGTCCTTCGCAGACAAAGCTCCTATTGATTTCAGGGCTCGATCCAGCATCCTGTGTAAAGGGCTGAGAATTTTTCCATTGGCTTCAGCGGGCAAAGGAATAAGTTCCAAGTTCCGAAATGGATACAGGATAAGGCCAAGTGCATGCAGCACTGCAAAAGTGATCTTACAATACACACATGCCTATGAAAAGACACTGATGTTGAGTCATTGACGGAACTTATACCCATGTTTCATAGTGCTTTTTTTTTTTTTGGAGCTTGTGTTACAGTCCCTTCTCCTAGGAGGACAGAGAAACATGGCAGTTCTCTTCTTAGCAACTCTTATGGCATCGCATCCAATAGATCGGGGCTAGTGAAATAATGGCCTGCCCGTCTCATGATTCTCTGTGATCTGTCTCAGTATGCCAAAGGCAGCTCGATGCTCTTTTGGTTCAACCCCTGTACGAATGCAGGAATACTGCTTCAAAATCATCCGTGACCCATGCTCATCCAGCCTTTTTAGACACCTCCAGTGAAGGAGATAGCACAGCTTCTCGGGACAGGCTGTTCCGCCGCCTCGCTATTCTAGCAGCAGGGAAGTTTTCCCTGATATCTGATTGAAATCTGCTTGGCCACAGTTTAAAGCCACTGCTTCTCATTCAGCCCTCTGCAGCAGGAGAGAAAGTGTCCTCCCTGTTTATGGAAAGCTTTCAGATATTTGCAGACTGCTGTCATGTCTCCCCTTAATCACCTTTTCCTCCAAGCCAAACATACTTAGTTCCCTCAACCTTCCTTCATTTGACTTGCCTGCCGCCCCTTTATCATTGTTGTTGCCTACCTCTGGACTCTGTCTTCCCAACCTCCTTCTTAAAGCGTGGAGCCCTGCACTTTTCTTGCAAGTGGCACCTTGGTCCTGGCCTGTTTTGCTTAGAACAAGATGCTGCAGTAAAGCTAAAGGAGTCTCAAGCACCTGGTCATTGGTAACGTGTAGGGGGTGCACGTGCACCCCCTGAGATTGGCGGTGCACCCGCAGGAGATGTGCCGGTGGTGCCTGCGGGTGGTCGCCGCTCGCCACCCCTACCCTCACTGGCGGCGTCTGTGGGTAGTCACCAATTGCCTCTGGCCACTGCCGGTGACATTTGCGGGTGGTCACTGATTGCTGGTCGGTGTTCATCACCGCCCCCTTGGCGCCAACACCACCTGTGGGTGGTCACCGTGCCTCCCCAGCCTCTGGGGGCATGTGTCATTCATGCACCTGGTTTAACATACGGGTGGCAGAATCACAGAATCATAGAAAACTGGGGTGGGAAGGGACCTCAGGAGGTCACATCTAGTCCAACCCCCTGCTCAAAGCAGGACCAGTCCCAACTAGATCATCCCCCCAAGGCTTTGTCTAGCTCGTTCTTACAAACCTCCACGGATGGAGAGTCCACCCCCTCTCTGGGTAACCTGTTCCAGTGCTTCACCACCCTCCTCATGAGATTTTTGTCCTAATATCAAATCTAAACTTCTCTTGCTGCAGCTTGAGACCATTGCTTCTTGTTAATTCAGTATCAGGTTACTTTCCTCAATCTTACTTTCTTCATAGAACCTGAAATCAGTTATCTTCTGTGGGGGTTTTGCTTAGGTAGCCAATTCACGATCAGCCCCTGTGACTCAGGGTATCAGGAGCGATTGCTCTTTTCAGCCCAGGCAGGTGCCCCCCACCAAGAAGTGAGGCTCAGATTATCAGTTTTGCAGCCTTACAGACACGGTTTGCAGGTAAGCAGACATACCTGCACTCAAGTTCTTGGCCTGAGCAAAGTTTGTGTCACTTTCTTTGAAAACCAGCGTATTGCTTCAACTCGAGAGGAGTAGCACAGACTAAGGCTCTGCAAGGGAGATCGGTGATAAGGGTTGGATTCTGCAGAGCTCTTGAGGGTCCACTGACAGGCAGGGGGAGTGCAGAAAATCAGCTTAACTTAATTGACTTAGGGTGGGAGGGATGGCCTGGTGGCACCAGGGTGGGAGTCAGGAGACCCAAGCCGAATTCTTAGCTTAGTCCCAACATCTGAGGTCATTTGGGGTCAGTCACTTCCTTTACCCAATCGGCCAGTTTTCTGTCTATAAAATGAGGTTAGGATTTTTTCACCGGGAAGGAGTGTTGCGAGGATAAAATCCATTCAGTATTGCAAGGTGCTCAGATAGGGGGGACACAAATTCCTAGACAGACAGACAGACTCCAAGGCTGAGAACAGCAGGCAAGGACCTGTCCCCCTGATTCAGAAAACAGGCAGGATTGGCTATAGTGTAATGTGCATTGGAGGTTGCATTTGGACTATCTGCAGAATCTTTTTTCTGCTTTTAAAGGCAATGCCATTTAAAAGGGTGAGGCAGGTGGGAAATTACATCCCCAAGAGCATGTGGTTCTTCTAAGTCAGCACCTGGCCTCTGGGTTTCTGTCTCACCCTGCACCCGAAGTGGCAGGCAGGTGCTGAGCTGAGTGTGATTCCTCAGATGGGCGGGGAGGGAGTAGGTTTATTTGTAGAGCAGCCGTGTGTGAGTCGTACTGTTCACATAGCCAAGTGTTAAACAGGTCCCACTGTCGTCTGGATGCATCCCGAAATGCAGAAGCAGAAAGGACTGCACACCCATGGGAGATGGCAGACGGTTGCATACTCTTAGCAAGCAGAAGGTGCGGCCGATTTGCCTGTGCCATCCTTCTGCATATTTATGCACATTGCATTTTTCCTGGGAGCTATCCGTAAAAATCTATAAAACGTCCCATTACGACACAGAGGGCACTGCGAGAAGTGGAGCGCTGGGAGCTGAGCTTTGAAATGCTGGGATCTAGTTCCCTTTCAGTCTGTATTTTGTTTATGTCTTCCCGCCCCCCCCACTTGCAGTGTGTGCTCAAGAGAGCTTTCCAAAGCCCGCTGCATGTGACCTGACCGGGAGTGATTCGCTTAACAAAACCAAACAGCGGAGCAGGCGTTCTTGTGTTTTTTTATGATAAACGAAATGCCAAGTTTTCCATCTATGCTTTTTCTCATGGCCCTTGAACCCATGTGGTAGGCTTATTTAGGGAACAAGACAAGCCTGGATGCAGTCCCAGAGTCTGCAGTAGCTTCAGATGCCCCTCCAAAGGTTAGGATACTTCACTAGGGATTTGTTCTGCAGCAGAGACTAAAAGGAAACTCAGGCTAGTTACTGTTTGTTCTCAACTTAGCCCATGCACTTTCCCGTAAGCCAGACAAGAGCGTGTTTATGGACGTGTTAATTTTACTATGGGGCTTATGGCGGTGTAGTCAGCATTGTAGACGTACAGTGGCGTATTCTGCCGGGGCTCTAGGAGTAACTTTTAAGCAAACATTTATCTGTGTAGCTGAATTGAAATGTTGTTCTTATTTCTACACTGACCTTCAGCTTGAAAAAGTTTTTGAGGCCTTTCATAAGAACAATGCAACTGTTTTGCTTCAGGGTCAGCTTTCCCATGCAACGCACGAGATTTACTTTTTTCAATAAAATGAAGGTTTGAATATAAAATTTTGTTGCTTCATAAGCAAAATTGCATATGAAATTCTGCCCTGACGTATGTCTTGGCAGCTCTATTGGCATGAGTTAATGGGATTGTAATTAAAGGCAGGAGTTGGTTCAGAGTGTGTGTATGACACAGCATTATCCTCATGTTTGTGGAGCAGAATAAAAGAGACTGTCGTACTGACGGCACAGTTAAGATTTAATATTTTGTTCCCTGCTGTAGGATATGACGAAGTTTCAGAAACAAATTTGAGGTCTCATAGCGTTCACGCAGCAAAACATGCGCAAGAGAATCGCCCTGTACCTGTTCGCAGAAAAAGAAGCATCGGTAAGAACACGCTAGTTGTCCTTATAGACCCAGATAATGGGGGCTCCTTCGGTCAGTCATGTAGGGCACTGTTGTGAAAAACTAACATATCCAAAGGAAAAGACCGTGTATAGTTTCTGCTTTTTCTATTGACCTCATCACTTGTTGCATCTGAATCACTTTCTGGTTGGTAATCCATCCTAGAGAGACGTGCATGAATAAATGGTTTACATTCACCTTCCAGTTGTGACATGTTAGAAGCCAGACCCTTATTAGCAAATGTGGCAATGTTCAATGTATAATTCATAGTGTCGGGAACAACTACAGCAACTGGCTTAAAAAAAAAAAACAACAACAGTTGGTGGAGTTTTCAGTACAGAAGCTCTAGAAAAGGAAACAGCTTGACTTTTTATTTCAAAAACAGTTTATCCAAAAAAATCGAGAGAGCAAAGTGCTTTGACATTAATTTCCATTGCCACATAGAGGGCCAGGCATGTTTACAAGGCATTTTTTTCCCCTAATAATGATGG